CAGCCCTCCAGATGTTTTGGAATTACAATTCCCATCATCCCTAGCTAACAGGACCAGTGGTCAGGGATGATGGGAATTGTAGTCTCAAAACATCTGGAGGGCTGGACTTTGCCTGTGCCTGAGCTACATCTAAGGTTTTCAAACTGGATTCTGATGGACCTTCAATATCTTCAGAGATATTTATGTATGTTCCAGCTAGAAATGAGAGAGCTCAAAAAATGCTCTCCCCATTTTAACTCAGAATTGATCTGAGCATTTTACCACCCAAACTGGAAAACGCCAGATCAATTTTCTGACCCCCAAACCCATCCCTGCATCTGGTCCACAGGGTCCCAAGGAAGGATGGAGCCATGGTCAGTTTGGGAGAGCTGGGGAACAACTGTGGCAGAAGCATGTGGGCACATCCTGCAAGGAGGGAGCATAAAAGGGCTGTTTTAAGTCTCTTCTGCTCCTTGTTCTGCCTCTTTGCAGCTTGCCAGCACCCACCCAACCTCTTTCTGTTGCAGGACAGAAGATAGTATAGCAAAATATTGAGCTTCTGTATTTGAAACTCTCTAATGGAGGATGGATCACTGCCTTGCCGTGGTGAAGGGGCTTGAATAACTCAGAGAAGCTATGAGCTATGAACTATGCCGAGCAGGGCACCCAAGATGGACAGGTCATAGTGGAGATTTTTGACCAAACGTGATCCACCTGGAGCAGGAACTGGCAAGCCACTCCAGTATCCCTGCCAAGAAAACTTCATGGACAAAGTGGAAGACAGGAGTGCCTGGCGTGCTCTGGTCCATGGGGTCACGAAGAGTCAGACATGACTAAACAACTAAACAACAACAACAATGGAGGATGTGAGGAGTCTGAAATGCAATGCACATGAAACATTTTCACCTGCCCCTTTGTTTCTTGCTCCCCCTGCCCACAAATCTGCCTGGGGTTTCCTTTTTCTGAAAATATCAGATAAGGACAATCTAGATGAGAGCATGGAGGAACCTTTAAAGGTGATGGGCTATTTCAGTTGACTGCACCCCTCCATCACTGCACAATGTCCTAGAAATCTACATTGGAGGCAGTGGGGGAAATTAAAATGGTAGCTAGACTCAGTTGCCCTGACTTTGTGTCATTCCCACTCCTCTGATGGATGAAGAGGCTTTTGTTTGTGGGAAGGGGAAAGGAAGCATTGTCCATTGGGGTCAAATTACCGACAGAAACAATCCCAGAGGGGTGTGTGTGTGTGTGTGTGTGTGTGTGTGTGTGTGTGTAAACCACCATTAACTTCTGCACACTTCAGAAAACTTCAAGAACTCAAATAGATTGCCTGACCCCCTGGTAAGTTCCACTACAACTTACGAGCACAAATTGTTTGCCTCAAGCTGGGTGAAATATACATTCAAATTCAGACTCTTGAAGGAAATTATTAAGTAGAGCTATATTAGCTTTCTCTGAAGCTTTCTCGTTTTCTGTATTGCCACTATATAGACCAATTATGTTACCTTTCCATGCTGAGAAGTGATTGTTCTGCTAACACAGATCTGGTAAAAAAAACACCAAAAAAACATATAAAGCACCACTGCTTGAACCTTAGGGGATTTTTCTTGTGTTATTTTTTAGTGTGTGTCTGTGTGCATGTGTAAAAGCTGCTCCCTTGCTACTTCCATCAAATGGAAAACATCTTCCATTAATCTAAATGCAAAATTTGTTTCAGCCATCAGAAAAATAAATATAAAAAAGCAACTTGAAAAATGTTAAGCAAAAAGCAATAAACTTTTTTTTATGCTCCTTAGACCACTAATGCTTTGGAGTTCTCATATTCATTTTGGAGAAATGAACATTTTATGGTTCACAGAGGAATCGCTACATGAATAATATCTGAGATTATAATGCATCGAGCAAGAGGGGTAGATTAAGTTTATGTAAACTATTTAATCAGACGTGAAATTCTCTCTAGAGAATAAAAGTGTAGGGGGTGTCTCTGGCCTTATTTAAGTTTCAGAAAATGCATTGATGTACTTTGTGAACGTAAGATGCTGCTTTAATCTGAGTCAGACCATTTGTCCATGTAGCCCAAGTCCCAGCAACCCTGACAACCAACCATGCTGAGTGCAATAGTGATGACCACCACTTCAGATGGAAAGGGCTGTAGCTCACTGGTAGAGCATCTGTTTTGCATGCAATAGCTCCAGGTAAGAACTGGGAAAGATTTCTGCCTGAAACCCTGGAGAACAGCTGCCAGTCACTGCTAACAATACTGAGTTTGATGGACCAATGGTCTTCCAGTGTTCCAGGAATGGCTTTAAAAGAGGATTAGCCAAAGTCATGGAGGATGAGGCTATCGGTGACTTCTAGCCATGGGAGCTATCTACGTTCTCCCTCCACTGCTGAAAGCAGCACGCCTCTAATAATTACAGGTGAGAAGAGTGTTGTTGCACTCAAGCTTCTGGTTGCAGACTTCTCATGGGCTTCTGGTTGGTTGTTCTGGTTGAAGAGGATGCTGGGCTAGATGGACCTTGGCTTGATCCAGCAGGGCTCTGATCTCAGGGAGATGAGAACTGGACACCAGCTTCATCTGGAAACCCCCAAGTTACCCATCCCTGAGCTGGCAGCAGCTCTACAAGGACTCAGGTAGAGGCCATTCCTTGCCCTGCTACCTGATTAACTGCTTAGATGGACTATTCATTGACTTGCATGGGGATACAAAAATGGTTGCAGTCCAGGAATGTGATGTGTGCTGGAAAAGGGTCCTTGTTCTGTGAGCAGGGGTACAGTTGGTGTGGGAGAAGGGTTCTTCTCTGTATATTTTTCCTCCCTGGAACTCAAGAAGCCCAGATCCCTTCTTTGGTTTCAGAGACTGGCACGATGCTGATGAGTGTGCACTGGTGGCAGGAGACCTGGAGTCTGACTCAGGAGAGGGGGGCAGTGGTTTGGGGGCCCCTGTACCAGCCAGGTGGCAAGAATCAGAGGCAGGAGAAGCTTCAGAGCTGGAGGGTGGAGCACAGGATGGGTCAGAAGAGGAGGAGGAAGAGGCAGGTCAAGCTAGTGAAGGGCCAGGTGCTTCCCCATCTTTTCCTTCACCACTATACCCCAGAACCAGGAGGGGATTGAAAAGGGATGAGCAGAGGAAGTTTCCATGCAGGCACAGTCTCCAGCTACATGTATGCAGCCAACCCATAAGGTATATAAGCTGGTGGAGGGGAGTGGTCCCCTGTTGCTGCAACTGCTCCATAGAGTGCAAACCTGGGAATGGCTGCCTAGCTGAAAGGATTGGTACAGTAGGTGTAGATATTCAGAGCTGTAGAAGAGACTGGAAGTGTTGTATTTGACAATAAATACTTAACTATCTGCTGTGTGCATTTCTTTGGCTGAGAAGTGCCATGACAATTGGTGGCACCCCATTGCTGTACAGAAACACCAATACCATTTCATTGGGCTCTGGGGCCTATCCTACTGATTCTTTACTCCTGGTTTTGTTACATCTTACTGTTCTGTTTAATGACATATCTTTGTTATAATGTTTTGCATCCTTTTGTTCTGTTTTGCTCCTTATACATTATACATGGTAGCTGCCCTGAATGTTCTTTAGAATGGAAAGTGTGAGAGAAAAACATGATGACACTTCATCGCATGATAAGTGTCCTGAAAACCCACTCCACAATGAGTGATGGCTGGTACCTATTGGGACTGGTAGAGAGGAAGACAAGGAGGCCAACAGCAGAGGGAGCTAGAGGCAGCAGCAAGCAGAGCCAACTAATTCCAGGTCTGCCCCCATCATCTTCCCTGCTGAGTTTTACCAAGGCAACACTGAGACTAAGGAGGAGACAGCCAGGGTCATTTCCTGAGCTGGTTGTTAATAAGAATGTAGTAGTAGTAGTAGTAGTAGTAGAAGAAGAAGAAGAAGAAGAAGAGTTTGGATTTGATATCCCACTTTATCACTACCCGAAGGAGTCTCAAAGCGACTAACAATCTCCTTTCCCTTCCTCCCCCACAACAAACACTCTGTGAGGTGAGTGGGGCTGAGAGACTTCAGAGAAGTATGACTGGCCCAAGGTCACCCAGCAGCTGCATGTGGTGGAGCGGGGAATTGAACCCAGTTCACAAGATTATGAGTCCACTGCTCTTACCCACTACACCACACAGGCAGGTAGAGGATGGCTGGGGCAAAATGAGGTTGCTGGGGCAGTGCCCATTTGCCTAAGGGCTACTCTGCATTTCTGAGGTTCCAGTTAGCCAGTCAAAACCGACATTTTTTTTTAATCAAACTCTAGATGGGCTTATGGGCATGGATATGACTAATATGCAGATCATAGAATCACTGAACTGTAGAGTTGGAAAGGATGCCAAGGGTCCTATAGCCCAACACTCTGCAATGCAGGAATCTTAGCTAAAGCATCCATGACAGCTGGCCAACCAGCCTCTGCTTGAAAAACCTCCAAGGAAGGAGAGCCCACCGCCTCCTGAGGGAGTCTGTTCCACTTTTTTTGAATAGCTAGCTAAGCCTGTGTGCAAGGACTCCTTTGCCATAGTGAGCCAGCATGTGTATTAAAAATGTGTGAGCCGAAAAGAAAATGGAGAAAAGCTCCTTCAGTTAAAAGGAATCAAGCAAGCCCATGCTACTTCTTGTGAAGCTGTATCATCTCACAACCACCACCTTTTTTTGGAGGCATCATCTACTTGGCACTTAGGTAAAGGACCGCTGGACGGTTAAGTCCAGTCAAATGCGACTATGGGGTTGTGGCGCTCATCTCACTTTCAGGCCGAGGGAGTTGCCATTTGTCCACAGACAGCTTTCCGGGTCATGTGGCCAGCATGACTAAACCACTTCTGGCACAATAGAACACCGTGATGGAAACCAGAGTGCACAGAAATGCCATTTACCTTCCCGCTGCAGCGGTACTTATTTATCTACTTGCACTGGTGTGCTTTCAAACTGCTAGGTCAGCAACCTTTTTCAGCCGTGGGCCAGTCCACCATCCCTCAGACCTTGTGGGGGGGCGGACTATATTTTTTTTGGGGGGGAGGAATGAATGAATTGCTATGCCCCACAAATAACCCAGAGATGCATTTTAAATAAAAACACACATTCTACTCATGTAAAAACATGCTGATTCCTGGACTGCTCACAGGCTGGGTTGAGAAGGCGATTGGGCCTGATCCAGCCCCCAGGCCTTAGGTTGCCAGGAACTGGGACAGAGCAATGGGAGTTCACCCCGTCGTGGGGATGCGAACTTGGTACTTATCCACCATTTGAATGGGTAGAATAAAGGCCCTGGGGAGGCTCGGCAGAGTAATGGGCATAGGCTTCAAGCAAGATCCCTGGGAACCAAGACCATCTTCAGAAAGCTTAGCCTACGTAACATTTGAGAGCATCTAGGAACAGAGGAAATTGCCTTATTTTGAGTCAGACCATTGATCCATCTTGTTCAGTATTATCTGCTCTGAATGGCATCAGGTCCCCACAGGTTCAGGCAGGAAACGTTTCTGAAATATACTCGGAGTCCTGTAGTGATTTCATGCTCTTTATTGCAGCTTGTAAAACAGTGATTGGATTGCCCCCGAAACCTCAGGCTTTTATATACATTATTTACACAATGAGTCCTATCTGATTGGCTGATTCTGCTTCCCTCCTGGAGCCTGATTGGTCTTTTCCTGCAGGCCAATCAGCTGTTGCATTCTACAATCCTACCAGCCTAATAGGCTGATCAACTTCCTCCTGGAGCCTGATTGGTCTTTTCCTGCAAGCCAATCAGTTGTTGCATTCTAGGATCCTACTTGCCTATTGTTCTAGGATCCAACTTAGTACATAACAGTTTCCTAGCCCTACCTGGAAATGCCGAGGATTGAACCTGCGACCTTTTGCACAAAAAGGAGATGCTCTGCCGCTGAGCTATGGTCCTTCAGCACTCCTTCCCCCACCCGCAGTTCCTAAATATTCAAAAACAGGCCACCCAAGACGACATCTGCCACAGCACAATCTGAATAAACCGTAACTCATTATTCTGACAAGTTCCTGGCTTGGCGCAGAGCAAGGGGAGACCTGGCATGAAGGATGATGAGACAAAGATTGGGTGTAACAAACAATGGGAAATGAAAGGGAGGCATCAATGTCAAAGGAGCACACATGGCTTCTCCTCAGTGGACTTGCCAGATCCTTGATGCAGTAATGAGTTATACAAGGATGCCAATAACTGGCTGTCAGTTCAATTGCACATCACTAGAATATGAGATCAATTGGCAGAAGGATCTGATGAGCACTATGCTTAGGTGTAGGCAAAGGAGTCTGCAGTGATAGTAGTTGCATGCAAGCACGGCTCATTGGCTCAGATGACGGGGCTGTGTTTTAAGTTGCTCTGCAATCTCCAACAGAATGCAACAGTGAGTTGCTAACAGGTATTCACCCATGGAGGGACGTGGGTGGCGCTGTGGGTGAAACCACAGAGCCTAGGACTTGCCAAGCAGAAGGTCGGCAGTTTGAATCCCCACAACGGGGTGGGCTCCCGTTGCTCGGTCCCTGCTCCTGCCAACCTAGCAGTTTGAAAGCACGTCAAAGTGCAAGTAGATAAATAGGTACTGCTCCAGCAGGAAGGTAAACGGCGTTTCTGTGCACTGTTCTGGTTCGCCAGAAGCGGCTTAGTCATGCTGACCACATGACCTGGAAGCTGTACGCCGGCTCCCTCGGCCAATAAAGTGAGATGAGCGCTGCAACCCCAGAGTCGGTCACGACTGGACCTAATGGTCAGGGGTCCCTTTACCTTACCTTTATTCACCATGGAAGCATGCAGCACCTATATTTCATTTTTTTTATATATATAAGATATTTATTGAGATTTTCCAAATGTTACAATATAAAAATGAAAAAAGGGGGGGGGAGAGAAAAAAAAGAAAATATACAAAATACAAAATAAAAATGATTAAAAACCACTCAATTTTTCCATTACTTATTTTTCCTTAGCTTGTTTCCCGGACCTCCTCATACCTCCCTTTTTCGTATTCCAGTTCAATTTGTTGGTTCAGCAAATCCTTACCCTCTTTGTTTATCCTAATCTTTGGTCTTAAAATAGTAACGTTAGATTTTTACCTATTAACAACCCATTTTTCATATTCCCTTAAAGCATTACAGCTGGAAACCACTTAATTTCTATCCAACATCATTCTAACATTCATTAATTTTACAATATTTCTGTAGATAGTCTTTGAATTTCTTCCAATCTTCTTCCACCGACTCTTCTCCCTGGTCTCGGATTCTGCCAGTCATTTCTGCCAGTTCCATATAGTCCATCAGCTTCATCTGCCATTCTTCCAAGGTGGGTAGATCTTGTGTCTTCCAATACTTTGCAATGAGTATTCTTGCTGCTGTTGTGGCATACATAAAAAAAGTTCTATCCTTCTTTGGCACCAATTGGCCGACTATGCCTAGGAGAAAGGCCTCTGGTTTCTTCAAGAAGGTATATTTAAATACCTTTTTCAATTCATTATATATCATCTCCCAGAAAGCCTTAATCCTTGGGCACGTCCACCAAAGGTGGAAGAATGTATCTTCAGTTTCTTTACATTTCCAGCATTTATTATCGGGCAAATGATACATTTTTGCAAGCTTGACTGGGGTCATGTACCACCTGTATATCATTTTCATAATATTCTCTCTTAAGGCATTGCATGCCATAAACTTCATACCTGTGGTCCATAACTGTTCCCAGTCAGCCATCATTATGTTATGTCTAACATCTTGTGCCCATTTAATCATAGCAGATTTCACCGTTTCATCCTGAGTATTCCATTTCAACAGCAAGTTATACATTTTTGACAGAATCTTAGTTTTGGGTTCTAACAGTTCTGTTTCTAATTTTGATTTTTCCACCTGGAAGCCAATTTTCTTGTCCAAATTATATGCCTCCATTATCTGATAATAATGAAGCCAATCTCGCACTTTGTTTTTTAATTTCTCAAAACTCTGCAATTTCAGTCTATCTCCATCTTGTTCCAGAATTTCCCAATATTTCGGCCATTTGGCCTCCATATTGAGCATTTTCAGAGCTTTCATGCAGCACCTATATTTCAACAGCTGCACTGGCTTCTGGTTCACAGAATCACAGAATCATAGAGTTGGAAAGGAGTCATTGAGTTCAGCCCCCTGCAATGCAGGAATCACAGCTAGAGAATCCCTGGCAGATGGTCATCTAGCCTCTGTTTCAAAATATCAAAGGAAGGAAAGTCCATCACCTTCTGAGGTAGCCCATTCCACTGTCTGATAGCTCTTACCATTGGAAAGTTTTTCATAATGGTTAGCCAGAATCTGCTTTCCGGACATTTGAATTGATTGGTTGTGTTGTGGCCTCTGAAATTGCAGAAAACAAGCTTGCCATGTCTTCCATGTAAAGCCTTTCATATATTTGAAGATGGCTCTCAAGTCACCTCTCAGTCGTCTCTTCTTCAGGCCAAACATACCCAACCCCTCAACCATTGCTCATAAGCAACTCCTTTATAATCATTGCTTGGTTTCTAGATCCTTGATCATCTTGGTTGCCCTCTTCTGCACACATTCTAGCTTGTCAATATCCTTCTTAAGTTTCCCCTCAGCTCCAGCCACTGTAACAAATGGTCAGGGAAAATGGGAGTTGTAAAGCAACAACATTTGCTGAGCTACAGGGTTCCAATCCCTCTTTCAAATGACCCCATTCATCTCTGCTTTTGGGGCCTGCTATCTACCTTTGGTTTAAGAGTATTGTGCCCTATTTTCTATTGCCCTGGGACTGTCAAGTGAAGGGTTAGTAAGAAATCTCATAAATCAATAAATAAAACGAGGACATAAATATGGACCCAACCTCTGTTGTGTCATGTGACAGTCTGTAAAAGTATTTATTTATTTTCAAGTGTGTATAAGGGCTCTCTACCCAAAATAGAGCTATTTGCAAAAGTAAACATTCTGATTTTTTACATATGCAATTTTGTATATGGAAGCTCTTCTGGATAAATTTTTGGAATAATCCTAGTAGGGTTTGACAAATATGCCAGTTTTAGTTTCTCTTTTTTTACAATCTTCCATTCAGTTCTCCATATTTAGGAAGCAATTTGAATTAAAGAAGAAGAAAACCCCTCATTAAAATTTGTGATAATTTTAGAGTGGATTTTCAAAGTAAACACACATGTTTTATATGGTGTTTTGACTAACAGCCACATTTTTGAAAGCTCTTTCCCTTAACATAATTTATTTTGGTATCTTATTTTCAAAGCTTTCCCTTAAATTATGCATTATTATTATTTTTTACACTTTGGTTGATTGAAGAACTGCACTGCAAAATTTGGACAAGTGAGAATTTTGAAGGCGAGCTGCATTTTGGTTGGTGCAATGGTTCTTAATGTATGAATTAGGTAGTCTCACGTTAAAATGTGGACAAAATCAAATTATTTCCCCCCATCTCTAATTGCTAGCATCACTGCAACTCCATGGAAGCCACACAGCTTGCAGTTAAGCTGGAGGTGCTGTGAGCTTTCAGTGGAACTACAATTTGAAATCGTTAGTATGCAAACATTCATTTTTAAAAAAAAAAACCCCACCGTAAAATACATTATTTTCAGTGACGTTCACAGCTTGCTCAGATTTACTTTCCATCTCCATCCCTTTTGTCCGCCTGAAGCTCTACATCTCTCGTTCTGCCCTCTCCCAACCCTGGCCCTTGTTAGCGCTCACCGTTAACCACAGCATCAATGTTGTCAAACAATTTTGCGGTGACACCCTGTCTCAGGCAATGTTAGGCCACCGTCAACAAGCGCCGGGTAACCAGGGCTGACAACGTATTACAGTCCTGCCATAACCAATCACTGTCTCACCCAAGGAAAAATGGCAGCTAAATTATAGGAGCGAATGCAACAGCGTATGGATTCAATTGCCAGAGCAACTTGCTAAACAAAAATGGGGCAATAAACAGAGAGGAGATTTCTGAAGGAAAAACAGCATCTCAGCCTCTTAAAATGGGGTAGGTTATTAAGGGCTTCTTTCAAATCCATCCACACCCCACTTGGATGCTGTGTTGTGAAATAATATTCTAAGAATACGGTTTAGTTAGGGATACAACATCTGATCTGCTGCTCACCTTCACATGATCCTTTAAAAAATGCAAACATCTTGAAATAATGCATGCAGTGCTTTCCCCCCCTAAAAAAATGTTTAGAGGTACTCTCATTTTGACTCAAGAAAAATCACCATTTTATAGTTCAAATCGGGGGAAATAAATACAGTAAATGGATGAAAGTACAAAGATTCACAAAATGTTTAGGGGTATGCATACTCCTGTATCACCCCAGAAAAAAATCACTAAATGCATGCAGTTATACTGCTAAGATCATGCTAGCACCAATGCCTCGTCTTCCTCCTCCTCCTCCTTCCTCCTCCCCCCTCTTCCTCACTATTATTTATTTTCATTTATGAATCACCTCCTATGAAACATCTCAAATCAATTTATCAGTACAATAAAAAACATATACAAAACGAATGCATATATCACACACACACACACACACACACACACACACCCCTAAAAGCAATTGCAGAAAGAAAACCAATTCAGATAAATTCAGATACTGACTGGGTACAGGGGTAACTAGAGATAACTAGAGGTACCACTGTACAGTGGTACCTCAGGTTAAGTACTTAATTCATGCCAGAGGTCCGTTCTTAACCTGAAACTGTTCTTAACCTGAAGCACCACTTTAGCTAATGCGGCCTCCTGCTGCTGCCGTGCCGCCGGAGCACTATTTCTGTTCCCATCCTGAAGCAAATTTCTTAACCCGAGGTAACCTGAAGTGTATGTAATCTGAGGTACCACTGTATTAGGATTCTTCTTCTTCCTTCTCCTCCTCCTCCTCCTCCTCCATCACCACCACCACCATTGTGGGTAAATCAATTTATTTTATATCCATTTAACTTGCACATGTGTTGTCTCATAAGACCATCCTGTTTCTTTATTTAAATCTGTGTTCACAGGTAAATGCATATCAAAATGCATATCAAATCCCTCAAGCATCCCTATCCATCCACATGCACGCCACTAATTTAGGGACCAAGAGATTGACACACGCTCCCTTGCCCACATCTTGCCTTTACATATTTCAAAGAAGCCCAAAACAAGCATTTCAGAAGCTGGTCAGCGTGGAGTCTACCCTTTTTTAAAAGATCTATGACTCCGCCTAGCGACTAGCCAAAACTGGTCAAGCTACAAGGCAGGGTCAATTCATATTTCCTTTTCTTCATTCTGTCTTTTGTGTAGTGGCGGCGGTTTTTAAGCTTTCCAACCAGGCCTCTACCATTGCACACAAGGACCCTTTTGAGCTGCCCTAGCCATCTGCCAGAATCTAAGAGAATGAGGGAGGCAGAATGCATTTATTTGACCTGCACCGGAACTAGGGGTGACCCCCCAAACCAGCTAGGGAGACAGCTTGCCGCAGTTTTTAGCACCTCCACTGGCGGGGAACGCAGCTGTTGCGTGGCGAGTTCCCGCCTCCCCCCAGGAAAATAAAGACACAAGACACAAGAATTCAGGTTAATGGGTCAAATTAGGTCACAACTTTATTGATTACAGGAATTGAGCGGTATTGGCTTAGGCATTGGTCCTAACTACTAACCGGCTCGAATGCTGGTAAGGGTTAATCACCAGTGGGAGGAGTCCTGCTGAGGCACTTCAACTAGGACCTCCCCCCGGTGTCACCGCGTGGGGGCGTGCTGTGGGCCCACACCTCCTTAGGCTTAGGACAAGGCCACGCCCCCCGGAATCCTTTACCGGACTACCCTTGTTTGGGGGAAGGTAATGGCGCTCCTTCCCCCCACTTCATCTGCATAACAATAGAACAGTACCCCCCACCAATGCCTAACCGCCAATACTGAAGAGTTGTGGCGGTTTGCTACGAGGTAGGCAAAAACCAAATGGCTGGTGCCAATCTGCCATTTGGGAAAATTCCTACCAGGCCCCTTGACGGCGACCAACCGTAGTTCATAGCAACGTCAGAGAACCTACCTAAAGAAGGTGGGATGGGAGGGAAAAAAACGGGTCAGATGTAGCGAGGGAAAGAGAGGGAGCCTCGGCTGCAGCAGATCTAAATAGCCGAGGCCCCGCCCCCAGAGTCAGCCGATTGGCTGGCCCGGGGTATGATGCGACCGAGGATTCCCTTTGCTATCGCGGGGGCTGGAGCCCACAACCCCACCTCCTCGCTATCGCGGAAGTGGCTTTGTCAAACTGGTATCTGTTTAGGGCTGCCCCGAGTCGCCCTCTGACACACTGTAACAACTCCATGGTGAGTTCCAGCACCTTAAAAAAAATATTTAAAAAGCACAGCTTGTCTATAAAATCTGTGTATCCAAGGAGAATCAGAATGGATTCCATACCTAAGAACTTAAGACAAGGCTGCTGGATCCGGCCAATGACCCATCTAGTCCAGCATCCATTTCTCACTGTGGCCAATCAGATGCCTGTGTCCAGTTCCATTAGCTTCTGCCCAGTTTAAGTAATATTTATTGGCTAAATGTGAGGCAACCCTTACCCTCTTGGATGTCAATAAAAAGGAGTATTGTAATTAGAAGACGGGGAGAGGGGGGTAGGAAAAGGCGCCTGCTACTCCTGGCCGTAGACGATTCAGTGCGGCTGTGGTTTATTAACCTAACATACTGCAAATCTAATTAAAAGTCAAATACACAAAACCCTCATCAAAATCCAAATGTTCTTTACAGAAACATCAAGGAGGAAAGGAGCGTACAGGGGACAATACCTCCAAGGTAATCAGAATTCATCTTTAGGGACTCGTACCTTATTACTCTCAGCTCATTATCAGTACTCTGCATAGTAAAGCAACGCCGAGAGATTGCATCATTAGCTTTTTCCAACACCATCCGTTACCACACAACGTGAGATGCTGAAACAAAGAAGCCAGCCCATACATATAGAAAAAGCTGGGAGGGGGGAGATTGGATTTCTCTTCTTTATTTATTGCAGGCATGTCCAAAGTCCAGTTCGGGGGCCTAATCCAGCCTGCCGGTCAGTTTCATCTGGCCCCTGTGGCAGTTTATTTACTGGGGTAAAATTCTAAAAATACCTCAACAACATTAATCCAAAAAAAAAGGTTAACAACTTTGGTCGGCCCACACGGCCCTTCCTTCCCTTCATCAAATCTGGCCCTCTTTGAAAAAAGTTTGGACACCACTGAGTTATTGGAAGAGGAGGAAAATATTTCTTTACTAGTATACATGAATACACCTGCCAGCCTGGATAGCAATGCTGAAACTGGCCTTTGAAGTTTGGGCTTGCAGGAATCTAGCTACACAATAAGGTCCTACTCTGGTCAATCTACCTCAGAAAAAAAATTATAGTATAGATCAGGGACGTCCAACTCCCAATAGACTGCAGTCTACTCACAGTATTAAAAAAAAAAAATGGCAGTGATCTACCCATTGTTGTTGGATGGACCAAAGTTGTTGAGCTTTTTTAGGATGCCAGAGTTATGGAACTTTTTGGGGAAAGATGAAGTTGTTGAGCTTCTTTTTTTTGGAGGGAGGAGATCAGGATCTACCAAGAACACCCCACAATCTACCAGTAGTTCATGATCTACCTGTTGGACATGCCTGGTATAGACCTAGGGAAATTTTCAAAACTAGATCTAGGAGCACTCCTAAACTGCAAGCCAGATCCTTCAGGGATATGTGCTGCCCCCTCCCCATACTGAATAGATAAATCATCTACAGAACTTCCATTTTGGTGGGCTTGAGCTTCAGTTTCTTGTCCCTTATCCAGCCCATTACTGAATCTGAGCACTTTCAGCTCCTCTGCCACCTCAGTTGTCTCCTTGTGGTGCTGCCACTGGGTCCTGCCCTGTTGACTGCAGAGTGCTGCTAATTCTTATTTCTTCTGTGTATATCCAGCCCTTCCAAATTAATTCAGGGTGAACACATCAACAGCAATATATTTTTTCAAAAAATATTATAGGAATAGTTATAAACAGTCTCCTTCTCTTAGTGATTTACGGGTAGTTGGGAATAGCATCTTTCAGCCATGTAAATGGGTATGCTTTTATTTTGCAAATGAAACTCAGTAATGAGCGTGACAGGGAGGACATTCTGTAAACATGGGGCCACCACTGAAAAGGTGGTGGCTCCATGTTCAGTGGTGGCTCCATGTTTGCAGAATGTAACAGTATGTACATACAGAGGTGGATTGAGAATGGAGATGCTACAAGGGGAACCACAACAATGATGCAGAATGAAAGACAAGGCACCAAATGTTGGTGTTGCACAGGGTGCCATTGAAGTTTGAGGTCCCAAGGTCTGCCACTGGTACACGTGCATGTTTATGTGTACATGTATGTACATGTGAGTAGCCATGGTGCATAGCCATGGTGTTCTGGAAGGCGCCACTGCATATCTAACCATTCGACTCCAGAACTTTCTGCAAAGAAAGGACTGCCCCTCTGCATGCATTCCAGTTGTTTTGTTACCAAATCGTTGCTACGGGTGCACTTTGGGGGCCTCTTGCTTTAATTTATGCAATTGCTTAAAATATTTTGTTAGGGCTGAGTGAGACCATCTGTGCGAGGAGGAAAAGATGCCTAAGGGTATCATCAGCAGAAACAGTAATGCTGAATGCATGGAAGGGAAATTGTCTACTTAAGAGTTTGCATCCACCGCTGTGACCTTTCAAACACACAGTCATTTCCATATATTGCCCACCTCTGAAAGAAAGAAAGAAAGAAAGAAAGAAAGAAAGAAAGAAAGGATAAAGAGAAATGCAGGATGTTTCTCCTAATCCAAACACAGTAGCGCCATGTTTTAAATTGTTTCTGTACAAAAGGACCAAAATGCTTCATGTTCAGCTTGTCAAGGATCATAATCCTATAGGCCATATGCAAGCCAACCCTTTTACCTCTTTGCTCAGAATCAGCTGACCTTTCATGGAGGTCAAGAAAACAACCTGAAGCTGCTAGCTGAAGTCTGGAAATGGGAGGAAGAGGAGTAAGTTGGGACAAGGTAGAGGCCTATTAAATTAGTGTAGAGAAAAATGAGAGCTTGCGTGCGTTTCCATCAACCCTCAGACTAAAAAGTTTGAGAAATGGATTGGCATAATACTCGCAGGGACAGGCAGATCCATTTATTTTTGTAGCATGTTAATTCTGCATGTGCAATTTTCCGGGGAGGGGGAATCTGAGATTTGTTTTTCTCCCCCACCTCTGAAAAAGAAGTCCACTTTGCAGAACTTTCTCTGAGTATTCTATATGCCTCACATATGCACAATGTCTGGACAACCC